GAGATTTGAAAACACAATAAGCTCTGAAGAATATTTGGGTACAGAAAGTTACCACATACATTTTGCCTTCCTTTTCAGTGGTAGTGGGATAAAGGCTGAGCAGGCCTGTCAGATGGGAAAAGCCAGGGGAAAGTGGCCAGGGGATTGAGAGAGATTTTAAGAAGAGGGGACAGGAGGAGGGAAGGAGCTAATGCATGTCTTTGGCTCATTGTATTGGTTATTCTGGCAGCTGCTAGATGTGTCTCAACATGGACTTCAAGCACGTTTGAACTCTCATGTCCCCTGCCTCTAAGAATTAGCTGCTGAGATGGTGATGGTGTCATAACTGACAGATACAAGTCAACATGCTACCCAGTGAGAAGAGAGGAGTAAGAATGGTTAAGAGCTTAGGCTTTTGTAGCACATCGCACATGTCACTTCTGTGAAGTGGAGACAGTGCTTTCCTTGGCTAATGCCAGGGCATGACAGCAATGGCAAATCTAAATATTGGTAGAGTAGAAAGCCCCTTTTTCTTTCTATTGTGCATCTTTCCCTCTTAAAGCTGTCCACTCCTTTGGCTGCAATAATATTCTGTCTTCTAATCCATCCCATTACCTCTGACTGTTAACTTCTAGTTTCTTTGCTTTGCTTTCTCCTTTTCCTAGATCCTGCTGTTCCCTCTTTAGCCTACATCTCTTAATTTGGGTGATCCTCTTTATTTGTTTACCTTTCCTCATGTTATCTTCAGGCTGATGACTCCTAACCCATATTTCTAGCCCAAATTTCCTGTGCATCCTGTGTCCTAATGGATATGAATCATGCATGCTTGGGCGTCACCAAGTCATTTCAAATCCATGTAAAGTGAGAACCATCTTCCCTCTTCAATATATCTCTCCTTTTTGTTGTTGTTGTTGTGTTCGTTTGTGGGTTTTTGGGAGGGAGGGCAGTCCTGGGGCTTGAACTCAGGACCTGGGCACTATCTCTGAGTTTTTTCTTGCTCAAGGCTAGTACTCTACCACTTGAGTCAAATTTCCACTTTGAGCTTTTTGGTAGTTAGTTTGGATATAAGAGTTGCATGGACTTTCCTGCTCAGGCTGGTTTTGAACTGTGATTCTCAGATCTCAGCCTTCTAAGTAGCTAGGATGATCAGCATGAGCCACTAGTGCCGGCTCCTCCTCTGTTTTCATTGGCTTCCATCCATCAGGCAGGAATCATCCTATCTTGTCTATTTTCCCATGCTATAGATTATACCCACTGCAAGACTACTGTCTCAATGGGGTTTCAATCAGTCCCCTCCTCACCCTTTGCTTTGAGGTTGTGTGAGGGTAAGTAGGAAGCAGATGTCTCATACTACATTCCTGGTTACTTCTCCTAGAGGAAGCAGAATCATAAAACTCCTGATCTCACAGTGTTCACTAGTCCTGCCTTGTTGGATAAAACTTCAAGCCCCCAGTGGATTTTTTTTTGTCCTTTGGTTCTTATCCAGCTCTGGGCCTCCACTTTGAGGTGTACTCTTCCTCTTTGGGTAGATGACTCTGACATCTCTAGAGGTGTTTATGCTCCCAACTGAGACACTTCCATAGTCCCCACCCCAACCCCTCCATTCCGTCCTCTCTCTCTCTTCTCTCTCTCCTCTCTCTCCTCTCTTCCCCTCCCCTCCCCCAGCCTGGGCACTGTTCCTCAGCTCTTCAGCTCAAGGCAAGCGCTACTTCCTGTTTTCAGGTGGTTAATTGGAGATGAGAGTCTCACAGAGGTTCCTTCTTGGGCTGCCTTTGAACCGAGAACTTCAGATCTCAGCCTCCTGAGTAGCTAGGATAACAGGTGTGAGCCACGGGCGCCTGGCTCAATTCCAAGTCTTTACTGTCCTTCTACTTTTCTGTTTCTTTGGTGTGTAGTTCTTTTGCAGCAGCTGGGACAGCGTCCTGATCGTAGATGCTGTACTCAACTAATTGAAGAACTGAAGAACATCTGGACCATCCCATTCACTAGGGAAACATCTGCCTCCTAACTTTGTGTCTGCAAGATGCTTTGCCTTAGATTATCTATTACTACTGAAGTCAGCTGTCTGATGAGGAGGTCAGAGTCACAGCCCCTCGGGACTGACAATACAAAAGTTGTGAAATATTTAGTATCCTGCCCTATTCGGGCCCCATCCCTGCATCCTTGAAGCAGTTCATATACCTCTGTAGCATAGTACCTTGCATAGAACCGTGTCTTCGTGCCTTTGGGCTGGCCTTCTTGCTACTTGGGAATGAACTTAATGGACTTGAAGTCTCTCCAGTAGCACGTTGCAATAGAACATACCGCTTTGTTTTAGGCTATTGCATGGGGCATTTTCTCAGGGCACTGGTCGCTTCACACCAGAGATCCTCTTGTCTTATTCATCTTTGGTCCCCAGAATCCACTGTGGTAGATGAGACGTGCTGCGTGCCTCTAGGCGTGGAATAAAGGATCTGAAATGTTTTCTTTTCTTTCTCTTTTTTTAGGGGGAAGGGGCTCCTTCCCCCAGCCTCCTCGTCTTCTTAGACGGAGGCATCCGTGCTCCTCGCCCTGCCCGCGGTGCAGGTGAAGGGCAGCAGGGTGGCTGGCTGCCCGAGGGCTGGGCTGGGTGGCCGCCCGCGCCTGCGCCCTCAGCCGCAGCACTCCCGGGCGCTTCTCTGTGCGCGTGTGTCTGCTTGGAGAGGAGAGGCTCGGGTGACAGGCGCGGGGTAGGGGGAAGAGTTCAGCCGGAGTCGGAGTTCTCATTCACTGATTTTCAGCAGCGGGACTGAGGCGGCCTCGGAAGGCGGCTCTCAACTGTTCCTGCGCCTCCTTACTCCCCACTTCCTGCCGCCGGCTCTCAGACAGGGGGACCGGCCGACAGACTCGCTAGTGAGTAGCAGCGGCTCGAGTGCCGGGCAGAGCGGCTAGCTGTCCCCGGCAGTCTCCGCACTGTGTGTGTGTGTGTGTGTGTGTGTGTGTGTGTGTGTGTCGTGTGCGCGCGTGTGCGGGCGCGCGATCGCTCGGGGTGTCCCTGGGATTCCACGTCTGCGGCTCCAGCTCCCGGGCGCGATGCGTGCGTGGGTCGGAGGCTGCGCTGCGGTGCCGGGCTCGCCCGGGCGGCGGCTCCCATGCCAGGATCTCCCCCGGCTCTGCGCTCCGCGGCGGCTGGGGTTTTCCCAGGGAGGCGCGGGGGCGAGCGAGCCCGCGGTGCCCAAGCCCAGGCTTGTGCGCCGCTGGGCGGCGGGGAACCCGCGAGCCGTTCCGGCCCAGCCACGCCGGCGCGGGCGCTCCTGGCCTCCCAGCCTTCCCACCTCTGGCCCTCATCTTTCCTTCTTGCTTTTCTTTACCCAGCAGCATCATAAAAACCTCGTCGCGGAATGAGATCGAATGCAGCGTCGCGCTCCCACTTGGTGCCCCTCGCCTCTCCGGGAGTGGAGCTCCCCAACACTAGGGACTTAGTCCGGGGTTACCCCTGTGTTGGGCACTCACTGAATTCAATCTGAGAGCCGGATGGCACGTGCGATTCCAACATGCACCCGATGGTTTGTGTGTGTGTGTGTGTGTGTGTGTGTGTGTGTGTGTGGCCCCGCGCACGCGCATACACACGCCAAGGCCCCCATTCTCGGGGTGCGCTTGGCAAATAGCACACCTCCCTGTCCGCGCGCCCGCCCGCCCGCATGTGCGGGGCCGGCTGGGGAGTGTGTGTGTGCACGCGCGTGTGCTCCCGCGAGCGTTGTGCCGGCGTGCCGGCGTCTCTTTGTTTGGTGGTGGCGTCCCCAGCCATCTGCACGGCAAATTGATTTTCGGTTTCTCCGGAGTCTGCCCGCTGGGACAGCGCGGGCCACAGCCTCGCCGGGCCTGGAGTTTGTAATTGAATCGTTCTGTCGGGCAAGAGGTTATTTTTAGTGCCGGGAATAAAGAGAAAAAAACGCGCGTGGACTTTTTAACCGCGGCCTCTGGATTTGATAGGTGTCCCACAGATCAGATTCGCATCGTAGTCGCGCACACCTGCCAGAACACAAGTGTGCACACATTTCCACACGCGTAGTTTTGTTTGTTCTTTTTTTCCTCTCTGATTAAGACTGGGAATGCATTATGTGTGTGTGTGGGGGGGGGCAAAAAACTTTCCTTTGTTCTTTTTGGGCATTTTCTATTTTGAGTAATGGAGTAGGAGTTGGAGAAGGTTGCAATTAGTGCACTCGAATAAAAGACACGGCCTGTGAGTCAGAGCTGCCAGGTGGATAATTATTAGCATATAAAAGCAAAGGCACTTTTTAAGGCGAGAGGGGCGGGGCGGGGCAGGTCCGCCGCAGACAATGAGGAGCGAGAGTCTCGGCCGACCGCCTGCTGCTTATTGTCCCGAGATTTGCGCCTGCAGCCCACAGCTGCGGGAGACCTCGGGCTTAGCTCCTGGCAGGCCCATCCATCCCTCTCAGGACCGCCGGGGTCACCTAGGCCTGACCCCTCTAGGCGTCGGGACGCCAACTCCAGCCGCCCTTCACCAACCATCCTCTCCCTCTGCTTTGCAGGTTGGTAGCTCCAGCTCGGACCGTGGGGACCCGGCGTCCCAGGGGGCAGCCCGACGGGATGTGGTGTGGACGGCAGCGCTAAGTGTCCCCCCGCCCCCCCCCCCGCCTCCTCCCTGAGCCGGGCGCCGGCCGCACTGGCTCTGGGTCTCCAGTCCTGCGGCAGCGGAGGCGGCGGAGGGGATGCGCCTGGGACCCGAGGCGCCGGCCACCAGCGAACTTCTGTCCAAACGTGGACGTCACACAGTGCTCAGCGCAGGATCCTCAGGACCCTCAGGACCCTTGGTCCCCAGGGCGCACGACTGCGGATCCCTGGCGCCTCACCTGCGCTCAGGATGCCCCGGGCGCCCACTTGCTGGTGAGCTGCCCTGCGGCGCAGCGCCGCGGTCCCCAAGCCGCGTCTAGAGTCGGCACGACGGGGCGGGCCCTGCTTCGGCCCCTCCTCGTGCGGGTGGATGAGAAGCGCCGGAGCTCTCGTGTGCCATCAGCGAGCGAGCTGTGATTCGGAGCGCCATGGACGAAAGGATTGGGCTGCAGCCCCCGGCTGGAGAGCAGCAACTGGAGGCACCGGCCACCGTGGACGCCGTCGGGGGGAAGTGCGGGCCGGAGACTTCAAGGTCTACGAGTTTACCGTCCCTGAACAGCGCCTCCTGCCGGCCGAACCCTAGTCCTGCGAGTGTAGCCGCCAAGCCAGCCCGGGAGGGTGTGCGTTCTTCGGGCCGCCGGGAGCTGAAGCGAGGCCAGAACCCACTGACACTCAGCCCCTCGGCCCCGTCCACTTCGGCAGGGATGGCCGGGCTCGTGGACTGCAACCACAGGATGGACGTGAGCAAAACCGTCTCGGTGTCTTCCACCCTGGCCCCACTCCAGGAGAGAAGGTGTCTCTATGTGGTCCTCACGGATTCCCGCTGCTTCCTGGTTTGCATGTGTTTTCTGACCTTCATCCAGGCCCTAATGGTCTCCGGGTACCTGAGTAGTGTCATCACCACCATCGAAAGGCGCTACAGTCTGAAGAGTTCCGAATCGGGGCTGCTGGTCAGCTGCTTTGACATCGGGAACCTGGTGGTGGTGGTGTTTGTCAGCTACTTTGGTGGCCGAGGCCGGAGGCCCCTGTGGCTGGCAGTGGGTGGACTTTTCATCGCCCTCGGGGCCGCCCTCTTCGCCTTACCTCACTTCATCTCTCCCCCATACCAGATCCAAGAGTTGAACGCGTCAGCCTCCAACGATGGCCTTTGTCAGAATGGCAACTCCTCCTCCACCCCGTTGGAGCCTCCCCCTTGTCCCAAGGATTCGGGAGGAAACAATCATTGGGTCTATGTGGCTTTGTTCGTGTGTGCACAGATTCTCATTGGAATGGGCTCCACTCCTATCTACACCCTGGGACCAACTTACTTAGATGACAATGTCAAGAAAGAAAACGCATCCTTGTACCTAGGTGAGACTTTCCCCTTCTCATGAGTTTGACTCACATTGAATCTTTCCTCAATAGAACTGAAAGGTTCTTGCCCATTTTCAAGTAAAGTGAACAGTGAGGTTCGTGTGTGTGTGTGTGTCTGCTGGTATTGGGGTTGAACTCATGGCTTTGAGCTCTTGCTTGGCTTTTCCCCCCACTCACCCAAGACTAGCACTCTACCACTTGAGTCACACCTCCACTTCCAGCTTTTTGTTAGGTTCTGAGTAGCTAGGATTATAGGCATGAGCTACTAGCACCAGGCTAAAGTTTATTTTATATTATGTTTTAGCTTTGATTTGGTGGATTTTCTGTTTGGGGGAGAATCAAAAAGTTGAGAATTCTAGGAACTGACTTTCAGACCCATCTTATTCCCGTCTTTTCCCCAGTGATGCATCTCTCTCTCTCTTTCTCTCTCTCTCCCCTCCCCCTCTCTCTCTCCCTCTTTCTCCCTCCCCCTCTCTCTCTCTGCCTATGAAATCTCTACTAGTTGCTGTCCTTAGAACTTACTTCAGGAAGAAAGAGGAATAACTAATATGTGAGGTTTAGAATTACTGTTTTCATTTACTCTCATTCCTGAGTAGCCAGATCACAGAAGGCATGCTTTATTCACCCCATGCATGTATTCCTTACATATAACATGCCTGGAACATAAAACAACTATCCCCCAGCAGATGACTAAGTTATGTTCAAGCAACAACGCAGGTTATAATACTCAAAGCTGTTTTTATTGTGAGTGCAGCCCCTCAGTGACATGACCTTGAGGAATTCACTGCTGTCTTCTGAAGAGCAAAGGCTCTGAGATTTGTTGAGTTGACCTGAAGATACTTGGCTTAAGTATAGGTAGTTCATCTGAGGCCAGGAAGTTATTGTTGAGGCTACTTTACTTCCTAGAAATAAATCAGTGTGGTTGTTAGCACCTCTCTGTAGCAACTGCTCCTTCCAAATGACACTTAAAATATTTTTTTTGTGGTACTTGTGGCCACATCCCCAGCCCTTTTGCTTTTAGTGTGTCTTTTCATATAGGATCATCTATTTTTGCCTTAGGTCCTCCTTAGCAGTTGGGAGTAAGCCACCATGCCTGCCTTGATGAAGCTGTACCTCTAAAGAGATGAGTAGGTCCAGTATACTACAGGAGATGTCTGCTTTTCTGTTTCTGTAGTGGAGTTCAACCAAAACTTAAAGATCTTACTTTATAAAAAGTTGAAACAGTAAATAATCAAATTCGTGCTGCATTTCATAGCTTACTAGCTGTATGCTGGTAGGATCCTTGGTATGGAATAATAAGGTTTTCAAAGGAAAGTGAAAAAGAGACTCAGTGTAAAAGGGATAACCAATTCTTCTGTCCTTAGTACAGCCATCAGTCCCAGAGGCTGTTAGAGGGGGTGCTGGACTCTCAGGAGTCTCCAGGAACTGAATGCATCAGGACAGAGTTTGATGCCATTCTTTATAATTAAATATAAGAGAAAGAAGTTTCCATTTTGGACAGAGAAGAAGAGTATCTTGCCTTTATAAAATTTTCAAACATATAGAAAATTTGAAACAATAGTATAATGAACTTCAGTATAATGAATCTACTCACTGTCTAGATTCATAATTGTTCTTTTTGTCATGTTTACTGCATTAATCTGTGTGTATGCATGTGCATGTGTGCGTGAGTGTGTGTGTGAGTGTGTGTGTGTGTGTATGTATGTGTGGGTGGGGATTAAGCCCTTTGTCAGCATTAAGGCAGCTCTGAGCTTTAGCATATATCTAAAAATATGGGCTTTCTGGGGATGGAGTATAGCTCATTGGTAGAGTTCTTAAGTTTTGTAAGAGGCCCTGGGTTTGATTCCCAGCACTACCAAATAAAAATACTTTTTTTACATAATTACAAATGCATTGAAATTTTAAGAAAGCTAATAATCATTAACCTAATATCATAACATATCCAGTTTAAATGATATTTTCCTCAACTATGTCCTTAAAGTCTCTTATAATTACTATTTAAAAAGCCAATTAAAACCCCTTCATTGGTTTAAAAAAAAAAACAATGGAGGCTCACACATTGTCTTCGGTTGCTTTGTTTGTAGCCTTTTATAACCCAGAACAGTGTCTCAATTGTTTTTCTGTCTATGGCATGGATTCTTTTGAAGGATAAAACTAGCTGACATGTAAAATGTTTCATATACTTGGCTTATCTGATTATTTCCTGATGGTGTAATTTACCTTGTTCCTCCAAGCCTTGTATTTCCTGTCTATTGGTAGTTCATACCAAGGCTGGATTGAATTCAGAGAAAAGTTCTGGCCAGCTGGGGGCCAGTGGCTCATGCATGTAATCCTAGCTACTCAGGAGGCTGAGATCTGAGAATGAGGGTTTGAAGCCAACCAGGGCAGGCGAGTCTGTGTAACTCTTCTCTCCAATTAACCACTAGAAGCTGGAAGTGGAGCTATAGCTCAAGTGGTAGAGTGCTAGCCTTGAGAGGGAGAGGGAAAGAGAGAAAGAGAGAGAGAGAGAGAGAGAGAGAGCCAGCCAGACAGTGAGACAGAGAGAGAGACAGACAGATACAGAGAGACACAGAGACACAGAGAGACAAACAAAAACAAGCCAACTCAGGGAGAGTTCCTAGCCCTGAGTTCAAGCTCTAGCACCAGTGCCAAACATACAAACCAACATCCTGCATGCCTGTTCCAACTCACCTTTGGATACATGGACACAAATTTCCATCAAAAGCACAGGCAAACTAGAGAGTATTTACTAAAGATCCTGAGATGTAACTTTCTGGAGTGTTGCTCACCAAGAAGAGAAACAGCAAGTGCATTTTCACATTGTTGATTTAAAAAATCAACAATGATTTTATTGTGATATTTACATACATGTGTACAATGTGCTTTCACCAAATGTATTCCTCTTTAAGCCTTTTTCTTTTAATCAACTTTTATCAGGTTTCATTATGCTATTTTTACACACACACACACACATAGATAGAGATAGAGACAGAGAGACACCTATACACACACACACACACACACACACACACACACACAGAGTACTTGGTTCAATTCAATGTCCATCATCTGCAAGTGTATTTCAAATACATATTCTGTGTAGCCACTGTGATAGGTGTATGTGTGTGTGAGTGTGTGTGTGTATGTGTGTGTGTGTCCAGTATAGACAAGCACTGTCACAAAGCCTCTTCAGTTCTGTTCTAGTCTTGAGAAGAGCAGAGATGGCACACAGACAGCATCTGAAGAGCTTGCGATGGAATGGAGAAACATGGCTGACTCAAGCATGGAATATGCCATGTCCAAGGGGAGGAAGGTTGTAGATAGGATATTTTCTTTTCTTTAAAAAAAATTCAGAAAATTCAATGAGTGCCTTAGGGCACATCCATCAGGAAAGCCATGAGAATTCGTTCTGCTTTGTATGAAATGAATGCCAGTAAAAGCTACTGTGGTTTGATCATGAGGAATCTTAAATGGATGATTTTGTTTAATGTTTTCAATGGATTTATGAAACGGAGGCTCTTTGGTCTAATGTAAAGATGAGGAAACAGGCTCAGAGTATTAAAGCAACTTGCTTAAGGGGCATCAAGCTAACACCAGAACCTCGAGCTTCCTCTGCCTCTGTGACTCTGGCAAGAGGTCTGGAGAGCTCATGGAAACTGGAGGCTGTGTCATATTCAAGTGTGGGTACGGTGCAGAGGATTTTTAAGAACTGGTCTGAAGGAATGGAGACATGATCCAAACAAGATTGTTCTCAAATTTTTGAGGAAACTGCCCGCCCCCCCCTTTCTTGGGACAGGGTCTTACTCTGTTGCCTAGGCTGGTTTGAAACTCTTGATCTTCCTGCTACATAGAGCCTCTGGAGTGCTGAGATTAAAAGTGTGTATCACCACCCTTAGCTCAAAACTTTTGAAAGTCAAGTTTATAGGCTACTTCTGTACATATTAAGATCAGAAAGAATACTGTGTTCTTAGAACATGGACAGTGTTCAACAACTATGATGTAGATTTTTTTCCTAAGAAATAATAGTTAAAGTATCTACTATTGTTCACAAAACTGCTCTTCTGGTCTCTTGAATCTCTCCTTCTTTTCTCAACCTTTCTGTCAGTCTGTCTAACTTCTCATCACAACCATACAAGAAAGAGAAAGAAAGAAAAGAAGGAAGTAAGGGAGGGAAGGAGGGAAGAAAAAGGGAGGAAGGAAGAAAGGAAGGAAAGAAAGAAAAAAGAAGAAAGAAAGACAGCAAGCAAGCAGGTGACACAAAAGTAATTACAGGCAGGAACAAATATTTGAAGTAATGTTAAAACCATTGAAGAGGTGTAACTGATATCTTAGACTTCTAAAGGTTCAATGTTAGAATTCTGGCAGCGCTCACTGTAGGAAAGATGTGGTCCCAGAGGAGAGATAGCTGGGATTACACTAAGCACCTTGGCTCTCCTGTGTGGACAGAGGCTTTATGTTGGTCTGGAGCATAGAGAAAGCTTTGTAGGATTTAATAAATAGTAGGGTCAACAACCAGACTATGACTTGTAATTATATCTCAAGGAGAAAAAGGATTATGTCAGAAAGGATGATAATAGCAGGTGAGAAAAAAGAAAAGGGTGCATTTATTGGATAAAAGATCAGCGCTTCAGTTGGATGATATTCAAGATAAATGATTGGAATAGACTGGCCATTGGCCCCTCCATCACGTGTCCCCTTCTTTAACTACCAGCCCTGATGTACCTCTAAGAGGGAAGGGTTGGGATTGGTTTAGGATCTTAGAAAGAGTCCTGGAGGAATAGGCAGACAATCTGGATTTTAGTTCCTTTCTATGAGTGACCTGGGTCTTTAGACAAAGCTCTTCTCGTCTCTCAGCCTCAGTTTTCATTGGGGGTGATTATGTTCCTCCCTCAAGGATGTTCCCTGTCTATTTTAGCTAACATTATTTTGGAGATTCAGGTATGAGGATTTTCAACCTTTAAGTAGAGGAAGGCAGGTAGGACAAACGTGGGTACAGT